CGGGCGGCCTCTGGGGCCCCAGCCCGTCGCGCTGCAGCAGCAGACAGGAGCCCTACCTTCCTCGTCTTCCTGGTCCGCGCTGGACCCGGCGCCAGCCCAGTCCTGAGAATCGCCCTCCGCCCCCGCCGCCTCCTCCTCCTCGGATCCCGAACCCTGGCTGAAGTCGATCCGCTGGGCTAGACGCGCCAGATTCTGCGACATGGACAGAGGCTGCAGGTACGTCTCGGTGCCATCTAGGCCCACTTCCTGGACCTGCTTTTCGCAGGCCGACTCGATGCTGATCCGCACAGCGCGCACTCCAGACATGCTGGCGGCGTAAGCGGGAGGGATGAGCCCTGCGCCGCCGGAAAACCGAGGTAAGAAGCAAACACGCTTCCTCGGAGAGCAAGACACCTGGAACCCAGGAGCCCTGGGGAGGACAAACGCAGCACTCGAGCGGAAACAAAGCCCAGGGCCCAGCGCCGCTCCCACAATACACAGCGAAGCTCCTGCCGCTCAGTCTCCAGGAACAGCGCTGGATCAGCGCAGGCGCTGCGGGACGCCCGGGAGCGCTTCCGGTGAGTCTCACGCAGGTAGGGAGAACTTCCGGGCCAAGTGAGCCTGGCGCGGGATAGGTGCGGATAGTGGATGGTGACTGTCTCTGTTACTGGCTTGAACGTGATGGAGAAAAGAAAGTTTAGGAAGGCCGAAGAAATGTTTACATAATTTAGGTCTTTATCAGGTATTGAGTACATTCCAATTTTATTTTTCCATACAAATAGTTGTGTCAGCACTATTTGAGTACTGTAAATTTTCATTTCGTTATCCATCTGCCCTGACTCTTCCGTGAAAAAAAGGTCAAGTCTGGATATACATGGATCTTTTCTGGCCTTGTTTTTCTGTTCTTGGGCTTCGTTCTCCATAATGATAAAAACCACACCATCTTGTAAGTTTATAGTAAGTTTTGTTATCTATATACCAAATCCCCCTGACCTTGACTTCAAAATTATTTTTGTCTTGGCCCTTTGTTAGCTTATAAGGTTCTATGGGAAGACCTACTGGGATTAGACTGACATTGAATTAACTTTATAAATTTGAAAAAAGTTGATACTTCAATAAGAGTATTGTCATAAGTATGAATATAATGACAGCATTTAGCATAACTTTTTATTTTTTTGTACGAAGGATCGAACTCAGGACCTTGTGCTAGGCAGGCAAATGCGGCGCCACTGAGCTACATCCCCGGCCCCATATTCCTTTAAATTTTAAGTTTTAATTTTTTTCCGGAAAGGTTGTATGTAAGTATATAGACAACCTTTTTTTTCTTTTTTTTTTTTTGCATGTACTGGAATGTTAACTGCATAATCATATGATCCTATTTTGCCTCCTTGCAATTTGTTGAACATATCAAGTCCTCTCTTGCTACTGGGCTGGTGAATCTGCCAGGAAAAAAAAAAAAGTTCATCAAACTTCATGGTTTTCTTTTTCAGGTCTTTGCTTAAATGTCTATCGGAGGTTTTCTCTGATCCCCTTTATAAAATGTCTAACGATTCCATTTTTGTTTGCTGACAGCTTTTATACCATAACCCTTCCTTTCCCTTCATCCCTACATTTTGCCAAGCTAAAATAACCTGAGTGCTCTTGCTTTCTTTGCTGTACTGAAGACTGAACCCAGGGAGCATTTAACTACATTCCCAGCCCTAGGGCTGTGATGCCGTATCTTGTAGAGCTTTCAGTGATGCTGGCTGTGGCACTCGTGCCATAGGTTTGCCAGCATTGCCTTAGGGTCTCAGTCAGTTGCCCAGGATAGCTTCAAACTGTGATCCTCCAGCTTCAGCCTCTCAAGTGATTAGTATTACAGGCATGTGCCACCATTCTTGGCTCAAGTGCTCTTCACTTGTGGGAAATTCAAACGTTATCACCCTGGTCCTACCCCCAATCACCAGAAACCCCCAAACTTAACCTCCTTTCCCTGTTCTCTGAAGCCATTTTGTACCTGCTTAGGAGCTTTCATGCTCATCCCCCAAATGCTTCATTATGAGGAATAAACCCTTTTGGGTATGATTGGGTATATGACTTCATCAGTCTTTATATAGAACCAAATTAAGACAGAGAACCATCTTGTCTCAGTGGTGGAGTGGTCACAAGATAGCCTCCTCCTTTACAGTCCACCCCGCTTTATTTCTCTACATAGCACTTGCTGCTGATTTCTGTCTTCCCCCACTAGACAGGTCCTCAGTATCCAGTGAAGTATCTGGTGTAAACATCCACCTACTCATTCATTCAAATATTTATTGAGTGCCTTACTTTGACTAACACTGTTAAAGGAACAAGTGCTACAGTGATGAACAAACACCTTATTTTCATTCTACAGGGCAGGGTAAGTGTTCCATACATACATATTAAATAAAATAAAGCTTATATTGTTTGGACATAAAGAGAAACAGTGGCCAGGCATAGTGATGCACACCTGTAATTCCAGCATTCAGGGGACTGAGGCAAGATCGCCATGAGTTCAAGGCCAGCCTGGACTACACAGTGAGACCTTATCTCAAAATAACAACAAAAAGTCCCAAAAGACCTGCTTAAAAAAACTTAGGGATTTATACTCTGAAACAAAGGGCTTTTTAAATTTTTTTTTTTTGAGAGGGCAATATTGGTGCTTTACACTGAGCTGCATCCCTAGCCCTTTTCATTTATTTTGACACAGTCTCATTAAATTTCGCAGTCTGGCCTCAATCTTGGGATCCTCCTGTCTGTCTCCTATTGTGTACTGTACCCAGTTTTCACAAGACATGTTATAGCTAACATCTATGGTAAATAATAAAGAAAATATTATTTGGTTAGGCATGATGACCAACCTGGACAACTTAGAACCTATCTCAAAAGAAAAATTATAGCGAGTCAGTGTGTAGCTCAGTAGCAAAACATTTAGCTAGTATGTGTGAGGCCCTCGGTTCAATTCCCAGTATTAAAAAAACAAACAAAAATTATTTGAAGATTGTATGTTCAGTAAAAGAAATCCTAAATTTGTACCTTATTAGCATTAGCTACATTAGAAGAGTTGTTTTTCAGCTAATTTTTTTTTTTTTTTTTGTACCAGGATCAAAATCGGAACCTTGTGCATGCTAGGCAGGTAGTTCAGCTAATGCTTTTTATAGAATACCAAGAAAAATCTTAACCATTATAATGAGAGTTTAACTTCATATTTCATGAACAAGTTAGCACTTCATATTTCACAAAGCACAGTGGTCATGTTCAGTAATAGTCTCACATAAGTTTTTGTTTCAGTTTTTTTTGTTTTTGTAACAATACTGGAGATTGAACCTAGGGCCTTTGTACCCTACTTTGTAGGGTTCAGTCTTCAGTACAGCAAAGAAAGCAAGAGCTAGGTTATTTTAGCTTGGCAAAATGTAGGGCAGTAGGGAAAGAAGGGGTTATGGTATAAAAGCTGTCAGCAAACAAACAAAAATGTAAATGACTCTTTTGTAAGCTACATCAGTCTTACTTCAGACTCCAAGAGTGCTGGGTGCGAGCCACCATGCCTGGCATTTTTTTTTTCTTGCTGTACATGGGATTGAACTCTTACCACTGAGCTGCATCCTAAGCTCTTTTTATTTTGAGGTAGGGTGTCACTCTTTCCCAGACTGGTTTCAAATTCCTGGGCTCAAGTGATCTGCCTGCCTCAGCCTCTCAAGTAGCTGGAAATACAGGTATACACCACCAATGCAACTCATTAATTTAATTCTGTTTCTTTTTTTTCTTCTGTTCTTTCAAATAGCCAACAAGGTACAGATTGCTTCCAATTGGCAGTCAAAACAAGGGAAGACTCATGGCTGATTTGTTACTAATGTTTGTAAAAGGCAAACTGCAAACTTTGAAAAGTGATTTACTTCATCAAAGAGTTGATGGGCTCATCTGTATTGTTTTGTGAAAAAAGTATACTGTTATCTACAATGAATTTTTAAAAATCAGTATAAAGATCCAAGAACTAGCAGCATTTAAGACTGATTTTTCTTTTTTACTTCATTCTCACTGTGTTACCCAGGCTTGTTTTGAACTCCTAGATTCAAGACAACCTACTACCTGTAGGGAAACATGAAAGTGAAAGATGGCAGTACTTTGGTTCAGGCTCTAAAGAGAAGGGAATCTGGGAGACTGTGGGTTAAATTCCAGCACAGGCACATCTCCGCATACCCCAATGTAAATAACTTCTGTCAGTGCTGGCTGGTGTAAATAATTTACATAACCAAGGTTGTTGCTGGGCATGGTTACTTTGTGCATTTTGGTATAAATGTAAACAGCTGAGGACTGCTGTGAGAGAGAGTACTAAGTGGCCAAGGACTGCAGTGAGAATGGGCTGGCTAGGGGGCTAAGGAATGGCGCGAATGTATAGTGGCTGGGGGATACAAGAGCAGCTAAACAAATGGACTAAGATGCTTAAATAAAAGATGCTTGGCCAGCCCACAGCTGTGTGTCTCTTCTTCAGCCTGCTTCGATTTCAGTTTGGAAATTGAGGCCTCCCCAGTCTTAACTGGTGACAAGACACCACCTCAGACTCTGAAGTGCTTGGACCACACGCATGCCACTGTGCCTGACTTTAAACAATCGCTTTTTCATATGCCAGAAATAATTCACTTAGCATGTGTGAGACTAACTTGAAAAATTTAATAATGTTATACAAATGTAAGTTATTACCAGGTAGTAGAAATAATTAGGTGATTCTTGATCATGTTGATATTTGAGGTTAAAAACATACATTAGACTTTGCTGATACTATAGACTTTTTAAAAAATAAAGTTGACTCAGTAAAGGTATGTATGTTAAAAAGACAATGAACATATCAGTTATTGATCTGTGTTCCCAGTAATCTCTTTTGGAAAGATCTGTCAAATATATCTGAAGCCCAAAAAGAAAAAAATTTAAGTTGTAATTTTTGTTAGATTATTTTTTGGTTTGAGACAGGATCCTACTATGTAGCTCAGGCTGACTGGGAACTCACTATGTGGCCCAGGCTGGCCCTGAACTCACAGTCATCTTCCTGCCTCAGCCCCGTAATGCTAAGATTACAAGCGTGTGCCTCCACACCCAGTTTAGATTTTATATTAGTATCAATTAATGAGTTAGTTATATAACCTTAATCATTTCTTTTTCTAAATAAGCATCAAATGATTTAATCTCTCCCAAAGCTATGGGTCTCTTTTGGTTGATCAATGCGATAGAGAAACTCTGCAGGAGAAAAGTATCCAAAATACTCCACTGTATCTGGAGTAGTGTCACAATGGTAGTGTCCACCTTCTCCATGATGACTAAAAAAGTGAGTGTGTTCCAGTCGTAAATCAAGCCCCTAGAACAGATAAGCAATATTAGTATATACTGAAATTATTTTGAGTAGTATTTGTTTAAAGGGTAAGGAGGAATTTATATTACAAAAATTTTATTTTTTAGTTTTCTTTTTTTTTTTGTACTGGGAATTGAACTCAGGACCTTGCACTTACAAGGCAGATATGTTGCCACTGAGCTAAATCCCCAGACCTTTTATTTTTTTAAATAGACAACAAATTAACAGGATTCTAAAAATCAAAGTGTATAGAAGAACATATTCAGTAAAATGTATCTTTTCACTTGCCTTTACCACTCATTTCCTTTCCTTGTTACAGACAACATATGTAAGCAGTTTCTTATATATCTTTCCAGAAATATTCACTTTTACTTTATTTGAATTGTAGAACTCTGCACCATTCTACATACTGCTTTTTTATTTTTTTTGGTGTAAAAATAAACCTTGACATCTTTGTCTATCAGATCATAAAAGACCTGCATTCTTTTATACCTATATGGTATCCCATTGTATGTATATGACTTCTTCGTTTGTTTTTTTTTTTTTTGGTACAAGGGATCGAACTCGTGTCCTTGTGCTTATGAAGCAGGTGGTAGAACAACTGAGCTAAATCCCCAGCCCAATTTATATAACTTCTAATGAACATTTATATTATTTCCAGTTCTGCTGTTACAGTGTTGTCATTCATAATCATTTAACTTTTTTTTTACAAGATTATGCACATATTTAAAGATAAAATCCTAGATATGTGATCACTGGACCAAAGATACAACCAGTCCATGTTGTGGTGGGTATTTGCTTTGAATTCATTTAAATTAATTTTTTTCCTGTGTCGAGCACTAGAATATGAAGTAAAATGATAGGAGATCTCAATCCTAGGTGTGATTCTACTTTAATAGTGTGCCTTTGAGTGTTATTTAAAATGCCTGTGCCTTCATATACTAAAATCTGCTCTGCCTAGTTTATAGGGTATAAGTCACCTACTTCCTCATCTTTCAAGATAATTCTATAGACTATCCTAGTTCTTAAATAAGACCACCACAAAAAGTACCTAGTTCTAACAGAATATCCTAAAAATCAACCATTATCATTGTAGTATACAATAATATAAATGAATAAGACTTACTGGATCTCTGGAAACAAAAACTGGTAGACAAACCAAAGGAGCCTTCATCTCATAAAAATGCAACCATTTATTTACCTCTTCATCAGAGTTCAATGGACAAGAAGAAAATTCTGTGGGCTACAATGAAAGATAGTTAAACAGGTAAACATACTGAATATTACTGAGAATTTAAAAGTTAAAAAATATCTTTTTAATTTTAAAATTTAAAATTTTCTTACACATTCTACTATTTTTGGCATAAGTTAAATAATATAACCTAGTTTTCAAAAAGATAACCTATGTGTATAAATTAAAGCTTAGGAATGAAGAAATGAAGAAATTACTGTTTTTCTTTATTCTTTTTTTGCTGTGCTGGGGCATTGAACCTAAGGCCTTGCATATGGTAGGCAAACTCTCATCTACTGAACTATAGCCCCAGACCCTTATTATTTTTCTTAAGACTCTATCAGTTTTCCTACATAGATGTCCACATTCTATTCTTTAAAAAAAAGTATTATTTTTGTGATGAATGGGATTGAACCCATGACCTCATGCATGCTAGGCAAACAAACAGTCTGCCACTTAAATAAGGCACAATGATTGGGTACAAACTTCACAAAGAGAACAAAATACTTTGGAATTAAACCTAACCAGGCAAATAAAAGACAAACACTGAAAATTACAAAACACTGCTGAAAGAAAAAGACTCCAGTAAGTGGAAAGACATCCTACCTCATCTTTAGGGATTGGATGACTCAAGATAATCAGTATTGGGCAAAGCCATCTAGGATTAATTGTGTAGCTGGAGGTGCAGCTCAATGTTATAGCACTTGCCAATTGTCTATGTATCCCTATTAAAATCTTAATAACTCACGGAAAAATCCATCCTAAAATTTATATGGAATATATGGACACTGAAATTTTCAAAATAATCTTGAAAAAGAAGTTCGAGATCTCATACTTCTTGACTTCAAAACTTTACTAAAAAGCTATAGTAATAAAACAGTGCTACTTATTACTGGTGTAATGACAGACATCCAGACCAATGGAATAGAATAGGGAAGCCAGAGAAAAGCCCTTGCCTATAGGATGAAATTATTTTCAGTGTCAACACCATTCAGCAAGAAAAAAGGACAGCTTCTAATGGTTCTAGGAGTCAGTTATGATAGTGTACACCTGTAATCTAGAACTTAGGAAGCTGAGGCAGGAAGATCACTGCGATTTTGAGGCCAGCCTGAACTCCACAGCAAGACTCTGTCTCCAGAAAAAGGAAGAAAAGGAAATTGTTGGAGTCATTTTTATATTTCATTTATTCAATTACTAAAAATTACAAAATAAAAGGTCTTGAATGTCTTAAACCTGGCTTCATATGGTATTCCATACTTTTAGCATTTTTTTTTTGAGACATATTACTCAGGTTGGTGTCAAAGTCCTGAGTATAAGTGATCCTCTGGCCTCAACCCTTGGAATAGCTAGGACTACAGGTGCTTGCCTCTATACTCAGAACCATAACATTTTAATTTTTTTAATGTAATTTCTTTTCCCCAAATCACAACCATCTTAGTTGCAAAGTCTGTTAATGTGTTGAGTTTGGGATTCTGGTAATTAAAATAACGAACAGTTTTTAAGGTTTACACTTGAATTAATCTTGGTCTTAAGTACACTGAAAAGAAAGTTCCCTGAGCTACACAATGAGGTCCATGTTAGCTTGGATTACATAGAGATCCTGTTTCAAAAAAACATAACACAAGCAAACAAAGAGAACTCTACCTACATATTATCTCATTATGATTTACATTGCAATTTGTCATTTAAAATTTAATATATTCCTAGCAAAAGATTTATTCAGGGTTTCTTCAAAGGGAGAATTCTCGACATACTTAAAAATCCAAAGAATGTAACCATTTGCACAACAGCTCTCACACATGCAAGCGTACACACATGGGCCCTTACCATAATGTGAGCCTTTACTTTTCCCTTCTGAACTATGAAAGTACCTCCCATCCCTACAGGCTTATTTCCATAGTGAGTTCCCAGAGCCTGTCTCATACAAGTCACAAAGTTAAGTTGTCCAGTTCTTCTTTTGGCTTTAACCTCAATGACCTACAGAGAACATAATTACGCATCCCATTTAGTAAACTATAAAATTTTATGTAAATACTGCTAACATGTAACACACAACTTAATGCCATGAAGTAAATATTCTTGTTTGCTTAGCATATCCAGATCTGAATTGATGTATCTATCCACACAAATATGTCAAATATATACCTTTAATAATAAATCTTATTTATGCTTTCCTGGGTCTTACACTGAACTCTAGATAATCTATGTATGTCAACATGTCAAAGTAGAAACAGTTGAGAATTCTCTGGCTTAAAAGGATTAACCTCTGCTAAATGGAGAAGAGGAAGAAATGATTCTGTTTTCTCACTTCCTGTAAAACTATGGACCAAGTTTTCTCTATTAGGTATTTAGTAGTACTTTTCTACTTTATTTCTCAAATTAGCTGAAGTGGCTAACTCTACTTACAAAAATCTGGGAATCCTCACAAATGCTAATACTGAAATCATCTTTTTGTGTCCTAAAAAGAAGAAAATATGAAGGTATTAATTTTCTGTATATTTTGCTTGCTATAAGTTTTTGCACCATTTCTACTCAGCACAATGTGTGATGGGTCAGAAATGAGCAAATTACCTATGTACTACCTATAGGTGGCATTATTTTAGCCTCATGCTTCTTTTAACAACAAATTAATATTCTGTTACTTTTCTTTTTTTGTTGTTGTTTTTTGAAACAGTGTCTCACTTTGTAGTTCAGGCTGACCCTGAACTTACTATGCAGCCTAGGCCGGCCTTGAACTTGTAGTAATCCTCCTACCTCAGCCTCCCAAGTCCTGTAATTATAGACTTACACCACTACTACCAGCTCTATGACTTTTCATTTATTCAGAAAAACATTACTTACTAAGTATTATTCTTCAGTTTTAAAAAGACTTTCATGCTGCCTGTATTAACCTGATTCTTGTGTAACTGTGTTATATGAAGAGCTATGATTTTGGTAGCTCTGATTTTCCTAGGAAGACCCCATTTAGCATTAAAAAATTCAAATTTTTAGCTATCTGGGAACATTTAAAGAACACTATGTTTTTATGGACAAATTACCTTCCCACATTGGCCCTTACTGGCAAAAAGATTAGCCAGTAGTGCACAACCAAAATCGTGATGTTTTTTGCTGTATTTCTCTAGTAGGCATCCTCCGTCTGCAGGGTTAATATAGGCAAAGTAACTGTTGTTCACAGGAGGATTGTGTTCACTTTCTGTTTGAATAACTGGCACAAACTGAAAAGAAAAGAAGGTAATTAATCTTAATATCTCTATGTAGACATCATTTTGAATAATATAACAAAATGTTTTATCTCAGAGTTTAAAACATTTTTTCATATAAGTGTATATCCATATATAGTAATATTACTATTACTAAAACAAATTTTCATATATGTTAATATTACTAATATACTACTATTTAGTATATATCATATATACTGCAGCATATGTATGAAATATACTAATAATAGGTATTAACTGCTATAAATAACCATCCTATTACTATGATAGTTTCCTACTATTTGGCTTGCATTCTAGATTAGATCATTACTCCATCTTCTAATTGAAGTTTCTTTTATACCAAAAGCACAAATTTACAGAGAAGTGAGGAATGTATGATGTATATGAATAAAACTCCTTTTACATTCTAAGGCATTTAGCAGAATATCCAAGGCTCTGGATTCATCAAAGGCTGAACCTATTCCCCTGAAAAAATCTGAAATTAAACATTAGTGCTGCACGATACTTGGACCAACTGGAGCATGTGCTACAGTCCAGATATGTGTCAAATGTGTAGGGAGATAAGACATGAAACATTTATAAGTTCACTCAGAAAGTATGCTTTTTGAAATAGTATAAGGAAAAAGGCAATGCAAATGTCAAATCAATAAAATGTATAATTAATACACACACACACACACACACACACACACACACACACACACACACACACACACTGACCTCAGAATTGAACCCTAAAGTCTGAAATGGGCCTGCCCCTGCTCCAAGAATAAAAGCTCCAGGCAGCTTGATTTCTTTTGCAATCTTATTCAGGTCATAAACCTATAAAGGGAAAAAAATTATCTAAATAATAGCTTACACAAATTTCCTCGTTTACTTTTCATTGCTGAGTCCTAGTTTACCTTTTATTGCTGAGACCATTAGTACCCTCCTGCATGGCACATTGACTAATGAATCTTCTAACAATAAACTGGAACAATCTTCATGTGAATGTGAAGGGTAAAAGTATACTTACTTTTTTTTTGTTTACAAGAGGCATTAAGTAAGGCACACCTCCTACTTCTGCAATTCTAGTTTTCCCACAGATGCCTACAAAGACACAAACCATCTTAAAAATAGGCAAACATAAAACAAATATAAAATACCAGAAGACACCAATTTAATTTATTGAGAGTATATAATGTCCATTCTAAAAATTTTTAAATAACAAGAGTTGGAAGATGTAAGTGGCTAATACTTCTGTCCTCTTTTAACTACCTATCTGTGTCACCACTGTCATCCTTACCTAGCATGGCAAGACACACAACTAGAAGTTGCAAATAAGGCACAAGCTAAAATTGGGGCCAAAGATTGGACTGGATAAGATATCTGGTATTAGTTGCAATGCTTGAATCCTTTAAAGTATGCTTTTAGGGGGGAGCGTTGGATTTTTTTCTTCTAAAATTGTTTCATAATTTAAAATATTTTCCTCTGGTAGAATATATGTTCTTTAGATCCATACTGGGAAATCTTGTAAGTTGCTTATTTCCAAGAGTGTTTATACAAATGACATGTAATTAGGGATAACCTTAGATGCTACTTTCTACTTTTGGGGAAGATGGGTGCTGAGGCTTGAACCCAGGGCCTTGAGCCTACTAAGCTACTAAGTTCTCTACCATTGAACTATATACCTCAAGTCCTCTACTCACCTAATTATCTCGGTACAACTAGATGTAGTTTGGAAGAAGGCACTTCTTTTAAGGTGAAGAGCAGACAGTTTCTTTCATTTGAGAAAAAGTAGTCTTGGGGCTGAGGATATAGCTCAGTATTAAAGCACTGCATGAGGCCTGGGTTCAATCTCTACTACCATATGAGTGCGCACGTGCACGCCCGCGCGCGCACACACACACACACACACACACACACACACACGTAAAAGTCTTGCCAGTTTCTAACTTATTAGAAAGTAAAGCAGATATAATTGCTGTACTTCAGCTATGGAGAGTATCATGTACAAAATTCTTATAAGCCCATTTTGTAAATGGGGATTTACGAAATGTTTTCCATAGAACCAGGAGAAACTACTCGACAAGATTCTTTCTCATAAGTGATAGTGATGTTGAAGACTACAGAAATCATTAGGAAACTTTTATAGAAGACTATGGAAAAAACAATAGTTTATAATGGTGAATGCAGAGATGAAGAAGAGAAATTAAAAGAACAAAGAATAGGTAACTGTAGTGAAGTAATGAGTGAAAATTTAGACATAAGGACTTCCACTTGTCTTTAGCATATATAGGCAGAGATGTTCAACAGACAGCTGGAAATATGGATTTATAGCTAAGAAAAAGAATGAGGTGAGACAAACATTTCAAAGCTCTTGTATCCAGGTAGTGATTAAATCTCAAAAGTACATGAAAAATCTCAGAAGGATTATACAAAATAAGAACAGACTGCAAAAAATTCTGGAAAACATCCATATTTAAGATACTGCCAGAAAGAGGAAGCAGCCAGGAAAAATGACATAGTGGTAGGAACCAAGTAAGAAGTGTGTGTGGGGGGATATATATATCTCCAAAGATCAAGGCCACAAAACAAAAAGAAGAATGTTAGGCAGCAATGGCCAAATAGTATGAAATATATAGACCAATTAAATAACACTAAGAAACATACAAAGGTCACCAATGACCTTAGCAAGATCAGTTCATGTAGTAATTGCCTAACTATGCTTATGAAAGCTCATAAATACACATATACACATATATCTGGCTTCCAGTGTGTAGTTGCAAGTCATACAAATGGGTGAACAGAAGACTTTCAGTGTAACCTTTTGAATGAACAGAATTAAGATTTCTTCTTTGTACTATGTTTTTTTTATTTTTAGTTTCTTTTAACTAGCAAGTAGAATATATTACTCATATATTACAAGAACCATGGCTATAAAAATGTATTATTTTAAATGATCTCAAGATGCTAATAGAAGTTGCCACGTGTACACAAATCTAAAAAAATTGTCCACTTATAATCAAAGACTGTTTAAGCCAGAAAGACCCCAAAAGAATGAACTCTCCCTATTTTAATGTATCTGAGTCTGAGATAAATTGAGTGGCTTACTCAGCATAATGCAAAGTTTATGTCAGAAATAGAACTGGAGATCAGGAATTCTTCCATGGCAAACCACTTTTTAACACAGATGTCAACTAATAAGAGAACGGTATGTCTACGAATTCTTCACAGTAGGGTATTAAAGGGAAAAAACTTCAGGAGCACAGAGCCCTGCATTTTAATCTGATTATGATTCACACTGAGCTTACTTACCTTCTCTCAGCTTCAGTTTTCTGATCTATAGTCTAGAGCTAGTATTTACCTGTAGTGCTATTATAAAAATTAAGACATCAAATATAGATATCCATCACACTGACAAATTATCTGATTCAACCAATATTTCTTTCCTTTCTCACATGAAACAGTGAATGATCACTTTGCAGATTTAAGGGTTATAAATATTTAATAAATGAGTCAAACCTTTTCTTGTTTTGTTTTGTTGAGACAGGGTCTTACTGTGTAGTTCAGCTGGCCTTGAACTCTCTATGTAATACAGGTTGGCCTCACACTCACAGCAGTCCTCCTGCCTCATCCTTCTGAATGCTGGGAAATATAAAGCTTTAAAGATCCTTTCTGGGTCTTGAATAAATAAAGTTCTCATGCCTCATTTCTTCAGCAGTTAGAAATAAAACTCATAAAAAAATCATGTGACATCAAAATTCGAGTGTATTGCCAGGCGTGGTGGCTCACGCCTGTAATCCCAGCACTCGGGGGGCTGAGGCAGGAGGTTCACTGAGTTCGAGACCAGCCTGGGCTACATAGTGAGTTCCAGATCAGGCTCAATTACATAGTGAGAACCTGTCTCAAAAAAACAAAAAACAAACAAAAAATTTGAGTGTATTGAATATTTTATAAGCAGTGACGTTTACAAAAGTACAACACTTTTTTATGAAACCTTTTACCACAAAGTTATAAAATAAAAATTGACCAACATCAGAAAACAATGAGCATGAGCATGGAAATTAAACAAAATATGGCTGAAAAGTTGTGATAATATATATTTGTAGATAAAAATATTTCTGGCTTCAGAAAAAGATTATGACTGAAAACCAAAAGGATATTTTTAAAAAACTACTTACCTTTTACAGGAAACATAAATGGTTCCTTGGTCATATCAGGACAGTCAACTACAGAGACCTGGACTTCAGCAAAGTTATCTTTTAGCCCCTTCTGTATAACTAATAAAGACATGAAAAGGGCTATTTAATTTTAGGTAAAAATTGGCCACGACATAGCAAATCTTTCTTCAAATTTTCTGTGCATCACCCTCTCAACCTAGATTTATATATTACAAAAGAATGAAGAATGATGGTTTGTTTTATTTATTTTGGAAGCAAAACATTTATTGGTGCATTTTAGATATACATAATGATAGTATTTATCAGAGGGAATTTGTACCTGTACGTGATATACCTCTTTTTCCCATTCCCCTTCTCCTTTCCCACTTCCCTTTATTTACAAAAGCTCTGTTTCCATTTTTTCCTTCTATTCTCTTTTTCCCCTTCCTTTCTTTCCCACTGCTTCTTTCCTTGTTCTCTTTCCCAATTGAATATTTATAGGAAAACAGTTCTTATAAAAGTTTCGACAGTGGTGTCACCCCTTAATCTTTTATAATGAGACTCTGAAAATATGAAGTTTTCAGATATTCCATAAGAGATCTTTTATCCATAAAGAACAAAAACTAAATTGACTGGAAAATTTCCCATCTTGAATGACTTAACATATAATTAAGATTCAATGTGTGCAAATATAGCAAATCCTGCTTTTCATCAATTACAAAGGGGCCAAATTCTTGAAAAGATTTTCTGCATTTTAAGCCACCTATATATATGTATGTATATATTTTAGAATCTTTTTAACTTTTTTCTTGAGAACAGTTCTTAAAAATCCAAAGTTAATATTATTTTTACCTTCAGCAAGCTCCTGTAGACTTGGCACATGAAAAGAAAACTCAGCACAAGCCATCATTGTCTTTCTTCTTTAGGTGGGAGGTTACACAAATAAAACTACAATTATCACAGGAGTTCACAGTGCATCAAGCATGAACAGCTCCTGCTCTGGAAGTGAACGTTAAGAGTTCAGTTATATAAGGAGGGCAAAGGGCATTTATAGTTTTCTATCCTCACAGAAAAGCAGATTTAGCATTTAGTATTCCAAGTATGCAACTGGCAGAAGACCTCTTTTAATACTGTTCTCTTCTTTTTATTTCATGGTGCTAGGGTCTCGTGCATGCTTGTCAAACACTCTACCCCTGAACTATACCTGCAGTCCAATACTGTTAAATGGTTGACATTTAAAATAGACAGAAATGAGGAGACACCAAGCCAAGAGGGCACCTATCTGGCTTGAACCTGTAATTTTCTAATGGTTGGTCCTGAAATAAAAGGCACTTACTAAGGATTATGAGTAAGTATCTAAATGGTTGCAGAGAACAATATAAGATTCTATAGTATTATATATATATATGCATGCATATATGACACGTATACATAAATCTCTGTAATAGATAACTTATGTTCCCTACTGTATATTTGACAAATAAGCTGAAAAATTAAGCTTCTTAGATTATCACTTTTACAAAGAAACCTAAATCACTAATAGAAATGGAAACCTATGGAAATGATTATGGAATTCAAATGTTTACTTTCACTTACAAATAAACATACTTTTTTGGCATGCAGTTTTAAAGTGAAATTATTCTGATAACTGAACCAATTATAACTTGATAATTATAACTTGATCTATAATTTGGTATTTTAAAAATATATGCTAAGTATAATTTATAATAAACATACACAGAGAGTAGTGTCTTACCTCAAGTGTTCAAGGGATGAGGTTGCAAGTTCAGTGAGATAAAATAAAATAAAAGCAGAAGTAAAAAGAAAAAAAGAAGTGGGCGGGGAATCCCACTCCAGGCCAATCACAACAAGGAATACAGATGAAACTGAAGGGCATTTCTGTTTTTAGGAGGATTGCCAGAGTTGTCAGCAAAACTGTTAATAGAACACTTCATTAATCCGAATAGTTTCTGGTTTGAACATGCTTACCTAGCAAGTGAAAGATGGCCCCTCTGAGTCACTTAGAGTTTTTTTGTTTTATTTTGAGACAGGGTCTCACTCTATAGGTATGCAGCCTATGGGGCAGGCTGGCCTTGAACTTGCAAAGACCCTTTTGCCTCAGCCTCCAGAGGGCTGGGATTACAGTTGTGTGCCACCATGCCTGGTTGAAATATTCTTCCAAAAACTGTTTAAAACTGTTTTTTCAGCTTTATAGTTTTTTGTTTTGTTTTATTTTGAGACAGGCTCTCACTATGTAGTTTAGGCTGGTCTTAAACTCACTATTACCATGTAGCCCAGGCAGGCCTCAAACTCACAGTGATCCTCCTCCTTCAGCCTCGCAAATGCTGGGTTAAAAGGTGTGTACCTGTAGTGGAATTTGATATAAGAGTATCCATCTGGGAAGAAAGTAAGGACATCTGAGTGCCTGGCAGACCAATCGTCTCAGGACAAGAAATGCCAGCAATTCTTGTTTGTCCCGTGTTAATCTCCCAAGAGGATGTAGACAAAGTAAAAGATGTTTTTTAAGGGGTTAAAAGGACAAAGTAAAAAAACAAAGTTGTTTTTGCGAACACAGCTGGCCAAAATATTATGTAATCCTAGATATAAGACAAAATGCTAAAAACATGCTTTTCTTCTGATGCTCTGAACAACTTCAGTAAATACTGCAGTTTTGATCATGAGGCTGCTGTTTGCCTGAGTGAGCTGCAGTACTCTGATTCTGCTCCTCACATCTTGCCTCTTCATTTTGTGTCACCGAGATACTCCGGGGAATCAGCGACATGTACCACCACACCCACCTTATAGCTTTCTTAGAAACTGAATATCTTTTCTTTTTTGGGGTTCAGGATGAACCCAGGGCCTTTGATTGAGCTACATCTCCTGCCGTTTTAATTTTTTTTTTTTAATTTTGAGGCAGTCTTATTAAATTGCTAAATGGTATGTACTGGGCTGAAACCTGTGCTCCTCCTGCCTCAGTCAGCCACCCACATGCTGGGATTACAAACCTGTGCCAATGCTGGACTTTTTTATTTTGAGACTGTGTCTTGCTAAATTGCCCAAGCTGGACTGGAGCTTGCAATCTCTCTGCTTCAGCCTCCTAGGCATGTACCACCACGTGAAGCTATATTTTTAGTTTTGGTGTTTCAAACAACATATTCTCATAAACTTGCTATTTCATAATTTGGGACTTAACATTTATATTTTTTCTTAAGAGATGGAACCTCCCTCCGTTGCCTAGACTGGCCTGAAACTCCTAGGCTAAAGCAGTCTTCCTGCCTCGGACTCTAGAGTAGTATGGACAGGCAACATTAAATACTAGTGTTCACTGTCCTTTAGTTATTTAATATAAATAATCTGGTCTCCTAAATTAAATATAAATAACTAGATAATGGTGCCAAATAATATATTAATCATACTTCAATTATCTTAAACGCATTTTTAGTTTAGTAATCTGTAATTGCTGAAGACAAAGACATTAACTTTCACAATAATTTCACAATAATTTCAAATTGACATATTATATACAAAAAATTACTTCATATGCTTCACCCACATTTCCCAAATGTTAACATTTTATTACATTATCAGGCAAACAGAAGGTGAATATATTTATGAACATGTCAAAATCTGCACAATTAATAATATATTTATGAGGATATAGTAGAAGCACCTTTGATATTTCTGCTTACAATGGGAGTAAGAACTCAAGTTAAATTCAAATCTAATCCTAATTTTATATACTTTACTCTCTCTAAAGAAAATTTAATTCTTTTCCCTACCGAAAAACAAAAGTCTAATTCAAGAGGCCCTGTGTTTGGTCCTACTCATCCCACTACCATGTGGTCCCTCCCCACCTTGCAAAGAAAATCTAACTCTGGGAGGCTGCAGCCTGAATCACTGGTTTAGAAATGGCAGAGTTTCTGATAGGCCAACAGCACAGAAAGCACTGTGGCAGTATTATGTTTAAGTGCCAGGGTGTGGAGTTGAAGTGATAGGAGAAAGGTTTTCATATAAAGTCAGAGTGGCTTCAGGAGATCAGCCTTGGGCCAGAGGGAGGCAAACAATATTTACAGGGCTGGTTTCATAGGTGGCAACTAGTGCAGTCAGTCACACAAGGCCACCATATTCACATATGAATTTTTTTTCTAGTGCTGGGATTGAACCCAGGGTCCACACATTCTACTGCCAAGCCCAAGAAGTTTATGACTGAACTTGTATTTTAAGTGACAGTGAAGTACAAGCAGGAGAGAGGTGCAATGTGTGTGTCCTCCACCATGCCTCGCCATCCTATCAAGTGTTTGTAAAGCCCCGTTAGCCTAGAATTACCCTAGAATTATGGTGGACACACCATGTGTAGGAGTCCAGAGAGACTCAAAACTGCTCGATTCTACAGAATGTTGGTAGAATGTACATATACCAAGAAGCAAAATAAAACCAGGCCAGTTAACTTTGTACAGTATTTCTAATAAGTATTCTAACAAAAAAAAGCACATGTGCTTCTATGAGCTATAAAATAACAATTGTGAAATATCAGTGATTTTGCATTCAAGTTAAATCTTCATATTTGTATTTAGAACTAGCATTGCACAATATAAAGAACAAATGGCAAAATTTACACTAATAGTTTTAATTTTTATGTACTTAGAATGACATTAATTACTTATGTAACAGTATCAAGACAGAACCCAGGGTAATTACATGCCCGTAATCCCTTCACTCAGGAAGCTGGAGGAGGAAGATTGCATGATAGAGGCCAGTCTAGGCTACACAGTGAAACCGTGTCAAAAAGCAAACAAAAACAAAAACACAAAACAAATCTGGACAAGAGAATGCCACAAAAACAAGACCTTACATTTTAGTACCTTTAATGGTACATTCACACTTTTCTTTTTTTTTTTTTTTTCTTGTACCAGGGATTGAACTCAAGACCTTGGGCTTTCGAGGCAGGCAGTGGAATCACTGAGCTAAATCCCTGTCCTTCCCCTTTCTTTTTGAACAAAGAGCTCTGCATTTTCATTGTGCCCCAAGCCTTACAAACTACATTATGGGGTATGTTCCCAATGAGAAATGAGACACCCACAGATTCCCTTCCCACAGCTTACAGTAGTTGCATAGTATGGATGGAAAGCAGTAGACACTGCCTTCAGGATCAGAATTTTTTTTTAATAACTGGAATTGTTCATTATTTGGGAGTAAAGAGACCGTATTACTTTGAAGTTCTGTCCAATCCTAAAAATGACATTAACTAGGAATAGACAGCTTTCCTGGTTTATCATATGATACAGGAGGTCTGAAAAATGGAAAAAAATCAGACCAGTTTATTTTACTTTTTAACTCCTCTTGGGGGGAAAAGCCAATCAAATCAAACTAGTGTAAGCTGTTTCCTCCTTAACTCAGTAACTGCTGGGAGAATCTAGGAGGGGAAACTAGGAGGGAAAAATCCAGGGCTGGTATCTCCAGTGACAGGTTAACCAACCCCTGGGAGGCAGACCCTTAGCTTAGCGTGTAAGACTGAGCTAAGTCTGAGCAGGGGAGAGGACGTGAGTGAGTTATTTGAGGCAGAAGACAGTGTGGGAGCCGTCGGGACTTCAGGCTCACAACAGAGCCTTCTGGTTCTCAGAGGCCAGGAGGGCATCATCCTGCTCTCACTACATTTCCTTAACATCCTCTCCTTATCACAAGTTTCTTGACCTCTGACAGGGGTCCCAAAGAGCACCCACTCTAATAGCTTTAGAGTAACCCAGTGGCCATTATAATATCATTAGCACAGCAGTTTTGAGTTCCCGAGGGCTTTGCCAGCCAAGACGTTTCCGTCTAGACCCACATAAGGTAAAAATCTCCTACTCCCCAAGTGAGGGTGGAGACCCAATTAATTAGGCAGAGTCCAATGTGTTGCCACCCCCATCCCTGCCCAAATGCCGTAGAACTCGCGGCAGCTCTTCAGGGTGTACTTTTCTGGTGCTATCTCGGAGCTCTATTTGAAACTCTTCCAAGTGTACTTTAACCTCAAACCTCCAACAGATTGGGCTACTCGGAGTCAAACTCGTTCTTGAGCTCTCTCACTGGCTCGCTCCCGCTGTGTAAAATACACTTTCCTTTAATAACTCTTGGCCTCTCTTACTGCTTCTGTGTGTCTTGCTTTCTCTGTTTGGGATACAAGGAACCTGCCTATCCATGAGGCAAACATATGCACTGTCACCATGGAGTCACATTGGCCCCAAGTACATAGGATATATACTTTTGGAGTCATGGTCATGCACAAGCCTTTCCCAAAATTTTAACACAGATAACCAAAGACAGACACGGCGGGACCGCATCTCAGTTTAGCAAACGCGAAACTAGTTGAAAAAATTCATCTACCTGTTCTCATTCATTCTGCTCACTTGACTCCAAGCACTTTTTTCTTTCATTTTCGCAATACTGGGGATTGAACTCAAGGCCTTCCCAAGGAGTTTAAGACTGGGAGAGTCTCACTACATTAGGCTGGGCTCGAATTTGTGATCATTCTACCTCAACCTCCAGAGAGCTGAGATTATATAGACGTGCGCCACCACGCCTGGCATTTATTTTTATTTGTCGAAATGTTCTTGACTATTACACTTACCAGAGTAGTGGGTGAAGCACTCAGACCCAATGCCCAACAGTCTTCAGTCCACTTTTCTGCCTCCGGGGCAGCCAGTCTAGGCCCCGCCTACTGCTGTAGCCTCTCCCCTCGCGGTGATCTAAAGACGCTCGCGCCTCGCGTCTCCTCCCATTGCCGGGTTTCTCTCCGGGGCCAAGTTGTCTCGCGAGATTCCAGTCCCACTATTAGCCAGGTCGAGAGGTTGGCGCGTTCTTTTCTGCGGTGCGGTTGGAAGAGGTAGGTAGTTCTGTTGGACCTGCAGTGGGGTAGGCAGTGGGACGAAGGGCGCAGATCTACGGGCTACAGCAACAAGTCGCTGGCAGGGCTCGAGTTGCAGGCCACACCCAGCAAAGGCGGGGTTGGTGCGGATCTGCTGCGTAGGCCGCGACTGTGGGCTGCTCCGGCCCTGCTCCAGGTCGGGCGATTGCAGTACAGCGCGGCTTGTGCTGTCAGATGTGGGTGCTAAAACCCAAGTCTGGACGAGTGACCTGTGGTGGCGTAATCCTGGCCCGAGTGTAAGGGGTCCGCTGTTACCGTTTTCGCCTGGGAACCTCCGCTTTCCTTAGGTCAAAGTGGACTGTGTTAGCTAAGGACAGGCCTTGTCCGTTTTAAATCTCAGTCCCAGGATGGGAAGCGACCACCAAATTGGAGCGCTTCTACACACGTTCCGGATTTGTGTTTTTATTGAGAAGGGTGTTGTCATGTAGCACAGGCCGGCCTCGAGTCCTCCTGAGTTCTGGGGCTACAGGCGTACGAAAGAGGGATTTTTGAGCCAACTGTATTTTGATCATTTTTAAAAATTTACTCATGTATCACTGTTTTTTGGATATCGGTTTTTGTGCGGCATTTATTTTGTGGTACTGAGTACAGCATCCAAGGCCTTAGCACTGAGCTGCATCTCCAGCCATTTTTAATTTTGAAACGGTCTCAGTGGCTAATAGTCACCTTTCATTTAAAATTTGTGTTGCCTTACCTGCTGTATACTCTCCCAAGAAGATAGAGACAAAAGTAGTGTCAGTATTTAAGGCTGGCCTCAAATTCTGAACTACGAAGTTTCCACCATATGACAAGGTAGTGCAGTTTGATGAAACCCCGGAAGGAAAGCTGGAGGCCTTAAGCCTAAATTCAGACCAAGAATTGGAGATGCAGTCTAAAGGATTCTGTTTCCTGATAGACAAGCACACTTTGCCTTCTGGCTTTCTTGGCACAAGTTTTTCCTATGAGTCCCTCTTTGATTTTAGGAAATGCCTGTTTGGCCTAGTAATCGTGGGTAATAATTTTGTACTCCGAAGCTTTTGTTGTTGAAGTTCTTTTTAAGGATCTTGCTACACTGGGTAGGTTTAGAAAGCAAACCATAGAAACCTGTGAATGCAAATTCTAGAGTTTTAATGAAATTCTGACTCCCTAGATCTTAAAAGTTCTAGTAAACGATTTTGCAGTGGCATGGCCAAGAACTTTATAGTATCACATTTACTGAATTTTGTTATTTCAGAAACTTAAAGACAAAAAGTGATGGATAAATCAGGAATGGACCCTGTTAATTATATGACATCAGATAAAGCTGTGGAAATTGAAAACCAAAGGTAAATGGGAAACTGGACTTAGTAAAAATGGTTGTAGTGGAGTCAGAAATTATAAATTATGTAATTGGTGTTAAAGATAATTATTTGGGAAAGAAACTGGCTAACACTTTCCAAGCTTATCCAATTACAGTTTATTGAATCAATATTATACACCTGGCTGAAATGTCCTTTTTTTTTTTTTAATAGGTTTTAGGTTGGACTTTTTTTTTTTTTTTTTTTTTTTTTTT